ACGACGGATGATCTGTCAAGCCAGATTCCGGCTGGGCTGGTCCAAGGTGGCAGCCTTGAAAAGCTGCAGAAATCAGCTCGCAGGGAGCCAGTTCTGCCGACGTTCTAGAACTCTTCTGCTGCTTGGTGCAAGTGTGTGTCACATTTGAGTTTGGATATGCCACCTTGCAGCAAAATGAACCAGTGTGTCGCGCTAATCCGTTGAGGGGGCACTCTGCAAGGTGGAAGATGCAGCTAGTCCTAAATGTGTAACCCCATGAAGGTTGTTGAGGGGAGGGGGTTTCAATCTCTGGTAATATGAGTGTTTTCATTACCAACATGTTTCATGCTTGGCCCCTGGGAGAGCCAAACCCCTTTGCACTTTCATCTTTTGTTTTTAATATTTTTATAATAAAAGCTTTAAAAGTTTAAAAAAAAAATCTCTCTCTCTCTCAGTGAGTAGCCCTCCTTTCTCTCCTAGGCTCTGTTATACAGTGAACACAGAAATTGGCATATACTGCTCTTGCTAATTTATGCTGCTGCTACCATTACTGTAAATTTAAGTTGCTCATTTAGTGGAGGAAGATCCTTCTAATTCCATGCTGTTTAAAACGAATCATATGTTTTTGCAATAGGAGGTTTCTAATCAGCTTGGGGAAAAGGATATTTATTTTTTATCTACCTTGTATTTAGTTAATTTTGCAGGTAGTCGTGTGATGCAGAATTGGGAAATTTATCATGTTTTTCTTTTGTCCTAGACATCTTCAGGTATCTAAAGCCAAACCAGTTTTAATGTAAGGACAGCAGCAGGCGGTATAATGCGGAAACCAGGCTCTCAAACAGGTAAGTGGTATTGACTAGTGTAGGCAGAGACCTGTTGTTTAGTTGGGGATAGGCTAATGACTTGATTATAAATTGTTGTGGAGCTGAGGCAAGAGGGGAACATGCGAGATGTGTGCCATAGTCTAGGGCAGGGCTCTACATGAAGGGAATGCACTGAGTCTCATTGAATTGTTTAGGCAGGCCTCATTACAGAATGATCGCTCAGACTGGTAGAAGTAAGAGAAGAAAAATCCCTTGTAGGTTATTTCACCCATCTTCATCCCAGCACAGCTTCTTCAGGACATATGCTGAGGTTAACAGCTATGGAGACTGCTTAGTCCCAGTGATGTTGTAGGGTGCATTTCCGGTCTAATCATTGGGAAGCTTGCACTGTGGCTGTCTAGCTGTTGTTGCTGTCTTTGGATTAAAGGTCAGGTTGCAGTTTCCATTTCTGTAGACCTATTTCATGTTTCCATGCATCAGTAAATGTCACAGGCTTTTTTTAGCCAGAAGTGCTAATTCTTGCTAACTTCATGGCACCCTTATATATGTGAGGCATGATGTTAGGTGATGTTATTGCCCTGTGGACCCTGTTCCATTCTTTGTTAGTTCTCCCAGCATGAAGAGAGCTGGTGCTCTGTTGTCAGAAGCCTCTCCCTCCTTTCAGGGCGGTATGAAACTGAAGATCAGCCTATCTTGTGGAGCTCAAATGTATCTCAGGTACTTCTGGTGGTCTGAATCTTTTATCCCATAACAAGACGATTATAACTGTAGGCACAAGGAATGCTCAGTAGTTACATGCAAGCTACCTGTGTTGTTTGTTTAAACAAAGGGGAAAAGCAAAGTAGGCTGTCTGCAAATGAGCTTTTCAAGGCCTTTTTATAGAAATATTGATTTCCTTTACTGTTGTTCCATACATGTGCATTTGACTAGTGTGATTTCATCACTATCATTACAGGAGAATGCCGGGGGGCAGGGTGGAACAGTAAAGCGTGCAGCATCCTCTGCAGTTCTTTGTCCACATCTGCTACATGCACACAAGGTTTACTGCAGGAGATTCCTGTGCTCAATTTCTCTCTCCCTTTTCTATATTTTTAAGCTTCCCCCTTGTTTCTCCAATGGCACATCTTATAGGAGAATTATCTTCTTTCTAGTGCCACTTGTCCTTTAATGAAGTGAAAGCAAATGAAGGAAAACAGGGAACAGGGAAAGCATGCTGTGAGGCAGCTGGAGGGCCTGGTAATAAAAGAGGCAGGTTGCTGATTAGTCAGCAATGTGGCCTGAGACCTGACTAGCTGAATTCAGCCTTGCACACAGCTTGTCATCTTTTTGCCTCCTAGAGCAGGGTGCCTCCTGCCAGTATTGCCGTTGTGACCTTTGCCCTGTGAATGCAGTACCATATGTTCCAGAATCAACAACTGTGTTGAACACAGATGGGTTCCTGTTCTGTTTACCTGGTTTTCTGTAATGCATTTGACTTTTTCAGTCAAAATAATTTGCAACGAAATCTCTCTATTCCTTTAGCTTCTTTCCCCATGTGTTGCTTTTGTATTCTCCCTAATGAAGGTTTTTGCATTTAAAGATATGTTAACAGTAGAAATGTGACTTGCCCACAGAGAGTGTGATAAAAAGCTGTCCAAGGTAGACAGCCATATGAACACATGAATGCTATCATGGAGGGCACACTCCTGCAATGCTAAAGGTTACATAAGACCCTTTGATAGTTTTGTCTTATCTGTAGCGTCTGTGCTTTGTATGCTTTATCCCTGCTTTCATAAAGAGTTGGCAGACCATCTTGCCCCAGGGGAAATAAGAGTTATGGTAAGGATATCCTTCCATTTTGCTCATTCGAGTCTGCATGGGAATACAGGCAGTCCTCAACTTACAACGTTTCGCACTTACAGCGTTTATAAATTGACAACCTGTTTCAACTTTCTGATGTCAGTTTCGACTTTACAACGTTTGATCCGATGTGATGCCGTGCTAGTGAACAAGTTTGCTGCATCACCCATCTCCCTGGAGAAAGTCTGTCCAAACTTCCTTGGAAACTTTCTTTAAGAAAGCAGACAGGACTCCAGAAAAACCTGCAGCCAAGACTTCTGAGAAGATTCCAGCCAAGAACCCTTCAAAAAGTCCAACCAAGTCACCTCAAAGATGTCCTTCCAAATCAATATGATTGCTATTTACAATATAAATACATTAATGTAGATATATTACTCATCTATAATTGATTGAGTGCAAAATTTGGGGGAATTTTTTATGAAAATAGGGTATCGGGCCTTGGTTCAGGAACCAATCCTCCATTTATAACATTGTTTCTTATGAGAAAATTGGTTCCAAGTTACGTTTCAACTTAAGACGTGGTTTTCAGGAACCAGTTGTGTCGTAAGTCCGAGGACTGCCTGTACTGTTTTGCTGGTTGGGCTGTTTTATGATGTCATAGTTGTGCACCAAGTCCCAGGGGTTCATATGAAAAACATCACCATTGAAGTACACACAGAGTCCCCATATCCACTATCTAAAATGCGTGAGAGCAAGGAGCAGCTGTTATGAAAGCATGGGTGACTGGAGCATAGTGAATATAAATACGAAGGAGAAAATGTAACAGTTTTAAAGCATTTCCTTGCCCACATTGTACAATTGCCCTTTCAGCAATGGTTTATTGCTTGGATCTTTCGGCTACTTCAGAATTTTTAAACTTTTTTTATCCACATTTTTCCTCCTATCCTTTCACTGGGAACTACTTTTCCTAATCGAAGGATATGTTTCATAAAGTGCTACAAAATTGCTTTTGTGTTTTAAAAATAGCATTTCAAATGCAATGCAAAATAAATGAGCTGGCCTGTAATAGCAATAAGACATCTCAGCATGTGCATTAGTCAACTATCAGCGTATGGCACCGCCTTGGTTGATAAGCAGTTCACCCAAGGAGGGCATTAGTAGCTGACTAATGCATCCTCTGTTGGTGCTTACTGCTCTGTTGGGCTTCTTTTTGGGGGAGAGTTGCCTATTTCTTGACATGTCAGACTTTGGGAAGGATCTTGAAAGAGTTCCTTTATTTTTATGCCTCTTCACATTCTCTGTGGCCATCACCTTTGTGGCCAAAGAAGACTTGATGCGATACCCTATGGTGCCCATCAGCACTATTCATTGAGCAACCTGTTGGGGTGCTTAGAGCTGTCTTTGTCTTTTTCCTTCCCCAGGAATTGAGTAGTACCCACAGTGATTCCCGGCCCTAATGTCCTGGGCAGCGATCAGCCCGTACTGATGCTCAAACATCCGGTATTTTGTGTGTGTTGGGACCAGCATCCTTCAGGACTCTGGGGAAAGCCATTCGTGTCCAAGGGACCTGAATAGCCAAGAGAGGAGCTAGGCAGATGTGGGGTAAAGGAATAGCTATACTAACCTTTATTTGCCAATGGGGACCTGATCCAAACTCACCCCTTCTATGCATGCACCACAAAAGGAGTAGTTTCCTCACCCTTTCATTTCCATTCCTCACTAAATCTCTCTCTCTCAAGCCTGCCAGCTTTTAAGGTAGTTTAAAATGATAAAAACTGAGTTGAAAGTTTTTGTTTCTATGCCTCATTGTTTGCCATTATGGATGAATATTAGCATACAAGGGTTGATGAAGACCAAGTAGTAACCTGAGGCCAAATGTTCCTTCTCTTGAGCTCAGGGTGGGCTATAAACAAACAGGAGATTGGCTCCTGAAGTCATCCCTTTATGTGCCTTGTCCAGTGAATGTCACTACTATATGTTGTTTGGCAGTCTGTACAGGGAGAAAATGAGCCAAACAGTAGGAACTTGCCCTTGTCCTGGGGTCATTTCTTTCCTGGGAGGTACAAAATGCCTATGTCCAGTGAGCAGCTGCTTGAAGACTAATCTGGAATCCGATGGGCTCCCTCACTGACATAAATGCTTTGTTTCTTGCCTTAGCCATAGACTGGAAAGATGGTAAAAAGCACAAATATGGCCGCCCGTCAGAACCTTCCTCCCAATACCAAGGTAAGAAGGTGTTTCTCACCCCCCTTTTGAATGTATTGATTTGTCTGGGATGTAACTCATCTGATATGCTGAAAACTTAGTGCAAACTGCTTTTAAGTGATTCTCAGCTATAGAGACCTTGTGTAGAAATTACTTAAAATTGTGTACCATGTTACAAAATGTGACAGTAAAAGGCTACAGATAAGTTAGCATCAGAAGGTTTTCCTTACTTAAGGTAAGTTCTCTCTTTTATATTCATATGAAACTGTTAATTCAAGCCTGCTTTTGTAGAGTGGGTGTGGTTGTGACTTTATCAGATCATTCATTGAATTCCTTCTTTAACAAAAGCAAAATGATTTCCCCAGCAAATAAGAGCCCAAATGGGAGCCCCTTATGCATCAGCCCATCTGTCAGTCTCTTCAGAGCTGAGGGCAAGAGATGCAGTTAGCAGAACAAGAGTTAATCACCTCTCTCCCCTTGGAGATCATTGTTTATCTAGTTCAGTGGCCGGGAAGGCTGCAATCCTGTGCAGAGCATCTAGGGTGCTGCCAGACGGGGGAGGGGGTGTGTGTGAAAACTCCCACACTTTACCAGAAGCAGGGGCGCATTACTTTGACCTGGCTCTGCAGCATCTGTGTAGATCTCTTGCTTCAGCTGGACTTTTTGCCACATTTATCTAATAGCTGAGTCAATCAGCTATTAGATAAAAGTGCCAGAATAGCCCCACTAAAGTACCTGATTTATACAGATGTTGGGAAAGCTGAGTTCAACTAACACAGTGCATCTTCTGCGCGTGCCCTGGGCTGGGTGCAGGAGCACACTGAGTTTAAAGTAAAGAGCTGGGGGTTTGGGGGTTTCTTGGTGGTGGTAGTGGTTTTTTCCATGTCTGCATGCAACCTTAGAGATTGTTTATAGAACTGGTGGGACCTGCTCTCTCTTCCAGGGATATGCGTGCAAGTTCTGACTGTTTGGGCTACGTGTATAATTTATGACAAGGCTTTAGGTCTCACTTTCTAACAACCTTTTATAATTTTCTTTTGTTTGTAAAGTTTAATTTCAAGATTCCCCAGCGAACTCATCTTTAGAAATTTAAAGTGGCATAAATCACCATCTGCCTTTGTGTTAGGCAGTCTTGTTTTTCTTGGAGTCCCTGTTGAGGCTATCTTGAGAGCACTGTCTGCTCTGGGGAAGTATTTGTTGGGTGTCTGTCATTGAGCTTTGAGTTATGGCATAGAAACCTATGCAGGGACCTGAGACACGGAAGAGAATCCCTGAAGATTGTCTCTCTCACCTCTGTCTTGAACATTATTTGCAATTATAGGCTACTATTGTGGTTTGTATGTTCTGTCTAGAGTCTTCCTACTGGGTTTCAGGGATTTTCCATAATCTCCCTTTTGCAGGGCATTGCATCATTCCCATGCATGGGGAGGACTGTTTTGTTTTTTTTAGTGACAAGGAATCTCTCTGAAATGAACATAAAGGCATACAGCCTTAGATGTATCAGTCAAGCTAAGGAATTACTGGAGAAGTGTGTTGTACTCAGGATTGAAGTAGGTAATTATCTATCTATTGGACAAGTACTTGGTGTAAAATAGGAATTGTCTTCTGGGAACAAATGCTCACCTGCATTGCTCGATATTCTGTACAAATTCTGAGTACTTAAGTGTGAATATGCAGACACAGTTACTTCCCAGATGACCACTGCCCTAAGCCTAACATGAAAAGGGTTCCTCCCAGAGATGAAAGTGGAACCAGGCAGTTCTTAAAAAAAGAAGAGTAATGATCTAAACCAAATGGGCTAATGCTTCGTGCAGGCTTACATGTTATGTTTCAGGGTAGGAAAGCAGAGCAAGTGGCAGTGCATTATGAGTGCCATGATTAGTTACACTGACTGTTAATCAAAATAGCAGTTAACCAGAGCCTTTGAAAACTGCAGTAAAATACGACCTGCAGGAATTCTTCTCTTATAGAGTGAGAGCCTGTTTGGAAACATGCAACTAGGAAGGTCATTGATGTGGTTGGATTGTGAGCAGACACTGATATTCTGTCATCTTTCTGAGTTAAACTTGGTTAGACCATTCTGCTTTCATATTCACTCTTGAAACTATTTAGCTGGCTCACATATGGGGGACAGATTTTAACAGGGTGCTTTGATCTGTGTAGGGCACAGTCTCCTTCAGAGATGTAACCTGAAGTGCACGTGCGTTTCTTTCAATAGGATTGATGATACCTTGAAATTTTAAATGCTAATGGAACCCAAACCAGATTTGAGTAAAAACATAAACAGCTTTATTCAAATTCCAGGCAAAACTACATTAAATACAGCATTGTGAGGAGTTCAAGCACAGGCAGGTTGGGGAGTTCAGGAGTTATGTTGGTCACAAGTATACCTTCTATGATGAGATGACTGACTCTAGATGTGGGAAGAGCAGTGGACATGATGTACCTTGACTTTAGCAAGGCTTTTGATATGGTCTCCCACAACGTTCTTGCAAGCAAGCTAAGTAAGTGTGGGTTGGATGAATGGTCTATAAAGTGGATAGAAAACTGGCTGGATTGTCGGGCTCAGAGGGTAATAAGCAATGGCCCAATGTCAGGTTGGCAGCCAGTGTCAAGTGGAATGCCTCAGGGATCAATCCTGGGGCCAGTTTTGTCCAATAACATCAGTGACCTGGAAGATGGGATAGAGTGCACCCTTAACAAGTTTGCAGATGACACTGAGCTGGGGGGAGTAGTAGCTACATTGGAGGGTAGGGCTAGGATTCGGAGAGACCTCAACAAATTGGAGGATTGGACCAAAAGAAATCTCATGAGGTTAAGTAAGGACAAATGCAAAGTCCTGCATTTAGAATGGAACAGTCCCAGGCACCAGTACATGCTGGGGATGACTGGCTAAGCAGCTGCTATGCAGAAAAGGTCCTGGGGGGTTACAGTGAACAAGAAGCTGAATATGAGCCAATAGTATGCCCTTGTTGTGAAGAAGGCTAACGGCATACTGGGCTGCACTGGTACGAGTGTTGCCAGCAGATGGAGGGAAGTGATTATCCCCTTCTATTAAACACTGGTGAGGCCACACCTGGTGTACTGCACCCAGTTTTGCCCCCCAACCCTCCCACAGACAGGATGTGGACAAGTCAGATTGAGTGCAGCAGAGGGCAGTGACAATGGTTAGGAGGCTGGGACACAACTTCTGAGGAGAGGATGAGGGAACTGGGCTTATTTAGCTTGGAGAGAAGACCGAGGGGGAATTTAATAGTCTTCAACTACGTGAAGGGTGGTTCCAAAGAGGTGGACTGTTCTCAGTGGTTGCAAATGACAGAATACAGAGCAATGGTCTCAAGTTCAGCAAGGGAAGTTTAAGTTAAATATTAGGAAGAACTTTCTCACTAGGAGGGTAGTAAAGCACTGAAATTGGCTATCCAGAGAAGTGGTGGAATCTCCATCCTTGGAGGTTTTTAAGACCCAGGTAGACAAAGTTTTGTCTGGGATGATCTACTTGGTGATGGTCCTACCTTGAGTGTGGGGTTGGACTAGATGACTTCCTGAGGCCCCTTTCAATCCTAATTTTCTATGATTCTGTTGTGGCTTGTCCCCTTGTTGATGTGGGGGTGGGGGGGGCGTTCCTTTATTTATACCAGAGAGCTCAGTTCTGCCAGTTTTACTTTAAGTAACACCTTCATTGGGGTTACTTACAGAGTATAACAATTCCTGAAACAAGGAATACTACCAGAATCAAACCCTTAGTTTTGAATTTCTTGGTTCTTGTGTGCTTAAATGTCAACTGTAACTCAATGTCATATTTCTCATTGAATATTTTGCTTCATTTCCTCTCCTTAAACAAAAAAGTTCTGGTGTTGTATGATTTTGCTGAAAAAATTCTCAGTCTTATTTAAGAATATGGTGCTCCTAACTCATTGTATAGGATTTGTGATTTGCAGGAGGAGGTGAGGGGAGTACTAAAAAGGTGAAGTGTCAAACAGGAGTAAGTGAATATCGTGCCTTTGGTACATTGTAGCAGGTTTGAGCCTCAGGGGCAGCCATGATGCCTCCTAATGGCTGTATGGCTCCTGCCTGGTTCTGTCTCTAAGGTTGCTCTCCCTTAATTGCTCACCCACCACACCTTGTTATTGAGGGTTAAGTAAGGGAGGCTGCCCATGGGCCTTAGAGAGAGAGCCTAAGTCCAATCAACTCCTCAAGGGGTCCCTCCCCACTAGTTTCAATCAACCTTTGTGCTAAATAGGCCTTCTCGCCTGGCAGTGCCCCTGCAGGGCACCTATAGCCCAGAGGGCAAATTGCCATGGCTCCATTCCTCCCCTACACCACAGCCCAAGCCTTGCAGGTGTTAGCACTTCAGCTGTTTGCTTTCCTTAGCTCCTCAGGATTCTCAGACCCCCTGGGTCCCTCTCTGCCCTCTATCTCTGGGTCCTCCAACCCCTAGTCCCTCACACAGTCCCTCTTGGCTGGGGAGCCCTTTGTGCCCCACTCAGCCCCTTCCCTGGGCTGGTGGGCTCTGCTCCCTTGTCCAAACCCTCTTCTGGGCTGGGGAACCCTCTGTGCCCTGCTCAGCTCCCTTCTCTGGGCTGGTGGTAGGCAAAACCCTCTTGCCCTCTATCCCCACTCAGCCCCTGTTCTAGGCTGGGGAATTCTCTCTAGGCTTTAAGCCTGTCTCCAGCAGGGCTCGAGACTTGTAACTCAAGCAATCTTATCAACATAAAACAAAGGCCCCTTGCCTGCATCAACCCTTCTCTGCCACAGGGAATATTCTCTGGTTCCCAGGATTGCAGGGTCTTTTTGTTTCCCCTACCTTTTTTGGTCTTTCAGGAGTCCTCCTGCCCTGCTGTAGAGAACTCTTCTCCTCAGACTCTCAGGGCTGGGGTCCCTGATCTGCTCAGGCACTAGGCGTATTTAGCCCCAGCCTGGCCCTCTTCCAATCAGGTAAGCCTGCAGTCAGCCCCCACACTACCTGGAAGCTGTCTCTAAGGTAGCTTCTCCCATTAAAGTAGCAGGCACACCACAGTGCCCTGCTACATACATACTGGACAACCAATGCTGGAGGCTAAGGGCCAGCTTCTCTTCCACCTATTAGGCATGTAAGGGGACTTGGGCACCTAAGTGCAATCCTATTCCATCCTGCTCAATTCCCTGAAAAACAGTTAATGAGAAATGCGAGTGGGTCTTGCTTTTGCTCACTGCTTTTTTGTGACTCCTTTTGGGTCAGGTGATCATGTCAGATGACAAAAGTAGATCCAATACAGATTTTTAAGGACTTGAACAGGGAAGACTAGACTTGCACGTAGGTGCTTATGTCCACTTAGACGTCCAGTAAGCAGAATAGAATCTTGCCCTAAGTCCCTCTCCCACAGAGCAAGCAACAGTGGGATAAGTTCTGCCCTCCACCTCACCCCTCTTGCTGCTTTGTCCCTGTGCTGCATTGTCCACTTTTCATAACAAGAGGAGAGTTTAGTCTCCATGGCCCATTCAGTCTTTGACACCTCTGCTAAATTAGTTGACGCGGCTAGTTAGTGCCTACTGTGATGATAGTTTGTATGAAGTGAACAATTGGGCCAAATCTTTCGGTGTAGGTGGTTGACTAACCATGCAGAAAACAATATTCAGTTGTTAGCCACATGGGCCAGATGTGAAACAGTGGGTTACAGCAAAAAGCTCCTTATCCGACTGTATTGCCATGTTTGACATGTTTAAAGCCAACAAAGAATTAGAGAGTTAAGAGACAAAATAGTTGGCCTGTGTTATACAGGAGGTTAAACTAGATGTTTCCAATGGTGCCTTCTGGCTTTGCAGTCTATAAACACACAAACACTTGTCTGGAATTATTTAGACGGGGATGATCCTGCCTTGAGCAGGAGGATTAGACTAGAAGACCTTCTGAGGTCCCTTCCAGCACTATTTTTCTTTGGTTCTATGCATGTAACAGCATGAGAAAGCACATAGCAAATGTGACCTCTCTTTACACAGCAAGCCTGGAGTCCTGGGCTTCATTTGATACTGCTGGAATTGAATATGCAAGTTAATGGCCACATACTTGAGTCAACATAGTAAGTAGGATTTCGGGAGGGGCAAGAGGAACAAAGCTTAAGATGATCAAGCTTGAGATATCTGTCTTAAAACTCTGCTCATGCTGTTTTCAAACAGTGTGTTTTGGATGTGTTCTCTACTGCCTGACCAAAAACACTCTGGAATGATCTCTTTCACTGTTTTTCATCATTAGCAGATTTCTCTTTCCTTGATAAAGTTCATTTATGTCAGTCCCCTTGGTATACCACTATCTTAAACAAGTCCCTGCCCTTCTCTGTGCACTTGTTTCCTCATCTGGAGTATGAGGATAATGTTGTTTGTCATCCTTTGTAAATAACTTTCAGATTCGTGGATGAAAAGCAATATATATTAAGAGCTATATATTATCATCACTTAGTGCCAATACCATATATTGTATTTATCTGGAGCAGTGGTTGTCAGAGGGGATGCCATGAGCCCTTTGACAGGGATGCCATGGTGCAGGTGCCAATTTAAGTTAGGTGGAACTGCCCTGCTTGCCTCCTGAGGAGGCAGATTTGGGAGGCAGCTGCAGCTGGAGCCTGTGCACTTCCTGCAACCCTTCTTGGTTCAGGCCCCCCCCAGTGCATCTCAAACAGAGGCATATCAGGCAGGTGTGACTCTTTCTGGGAAGAGCTTGTGGGGTTGGACCAGAAAGGGCTGTTGCATGAGTGTGTGCTCCAGCCATAGCTGTTTATACTGCCTAGCCAGAGGAGTGAGGCCACAGGGGAGTTTTGCCCAGGACAAAAAAACTCATTAGTTATGCCTCTGCTACTACCTGGTTTAGGTTTATCAGATAACCCTAGTATAGGCAGAAGTGTATGGCAGCATCCTGGTTGAGAACTACTGCGGTAAGTAGAGGCAGTAAAACAATGGGTCTCAACTGGGGGTGCTGCCAAATTCAAAAAAGTTATGGAGGAGTGCCTTGCATCTAAGAAGGGTGAGAACCACTGCTCTAGAACTTTTCCCTAAACCACAGACCAGGGGTTTTCAGCTGGGGATACGTGTACCTTTGGGGGTACTTGGGATGGCCTCAGGGGTTACTCAGTCGCTGCTGCTGGAACTTCTGCTGCCATGCCACTAGCACTTCTGCCGCTGGCATGCTTGCCGATCAGCCACAGGTGACCCTCCCGTTTGTCGATTGGCTGCTGTGGGATTCTCCCCTCCTGCCTCCTTCCTTCCCCTCACCCCCCGCTCATCAACAGGCCATCGGGGGACTCCTTCCTTCTCGACCAGCCATCAAGGGTACACTGACCCAAAAAGGTTGAAAACCCCAGCCATAAACCAAACTATCTTAAGTTAAGGCAAGGGGTTAGAGACCTCAGAGTTCACTGTCTTGTTCATTGGTCACGAGGGAGTAATTTTGAATGGAAATATCTTGTATTTTAGTTTACTGTATTTATATAAAGGAATTAGAAATACTAGATTGTTAGGCTTGAACTCTGCCACACATGGGGGGGGGGGGGTTCTAAAAAGTCCTCTTCAGTAGAACTTAAACTTTTTTTAAACTTACCAAAATGTGAATTGCAAGCTGTGCTATAGACATCTTCACAGTATAGTGGGTTGGCAGCAAACTAGAAATAAGCTTACATGAGTTTGTACCCATACTCTGTTTTCAGGGACAGACAACTGTCTCAGAAATTCTTTGCTCGCGCTGGAATCCTGTAGGCTTGGTCTCTGCTTGATTTAAAACGTTAGATGCAGAGAGAAAAAATACATCTACTGTTTTTAAAAAAAGGATGCGTGTTGAGTGGGAGGTATTTTTAGATAAAATGTTAAAAAGCTGTTAAGTTCCTTATTTCAAAGTTGTTTAGTCTAGTCTCTTAGCGTCTGGTACAAAAATGGGATTTAATTGCCCGAATTGCACTTTAGGCAGAACTGAATGGCTTGTGTCTTAAAAAAAAAAAAAAAAAATCTGCTAAAATGCTGAAGTACTTGGGAAGCTGCAAAGCCTTGTGTTTTCAGACAAAAACGCATTTAGATGCCTACATACTAGTTGTTGCACTTGGACAAAGCTGCTACCATCTTGGCTGAGCTGAACATTTAAGTGTCTTTCCATCACCTATAGTCATTTGGGATTCATAAATCAGGCACAGCTTTATATGCCTCAAGGGGCAGTCTGCATACTCACAGCATACTTAGCAAAGACTGGCAACACTGAGATAAGCATCCATGGCTGGTGTGGGTGGTTGGTGATAGTGGTTATCACCTGTATAATAACCTAGGCATTCTGTTCCCTTCTTGGTCATCTAAGTATCCAGATTTGATCATCTACATAGCATTTTTGGTACTTAGGCACCTGGAGGAATTCTATTCCTGGACATGTAGCCCTGCACGTATGCATGACTGTGGACAACTATGTAGGTGTGAAGACTGGGCATGCTCACTGGCAACAAAATATGAAAGACTTCTTACCTTCTTTCCCCCCGCTCCGTCAAGACCTGAATCAGTAGGACACTTACCCGGGAAGCCAGGAGACCCGGGTTCCAGGTCCGCCTTGCCCTTATGGGATTTGAACCTGGGTCTCTGACTTCCCACTGCAGCACTTGAACACCACAGGTCAGCCAGTCTCCTTTTCAGTACTCCTCTTAAAGCTGAGTCACTAGCAGTGTAAGGGAGAAGCTTCTGTCTAACTGGGGAAAGGGCACAAGCTAGAACTAAGGGCCCCTTCTCTTCTTGGTCCCATCCAACTCCAATGTACTTCCCTTTCATGGCTGCCCAGGGTGCCAGCTTCAGAGCTCTGTAAATAAAAATATATTAAATGATTATGAAAACTAGTTTAAGTAAAAGTATATAAAAAAACTGTCCAGAGTATGCTACTCTGTGGATGAGAGATGGTGGGAAAGTGATGCTTCTGTTATATTATTTGAGGAGGAGTAGAGTCTTTATGTATTCTCCCATAGTCCTGCATGGGACAGAGTTAAAATTATATATGTAAACTTAACATTTCCATTCCTAAATGTTAGAGTCCTTTCATATGCCATGTTAAGCATGTGTAAGCGTGTACACACTTAACTATGTTTTTTATATAAAAAATAAGCTGAATAAAAACTGTTGTGAGTAATAGAAATGGTAACTGGCCCCCACAGATGCTCTTTTAATGACTTGAAAAAAAGGGTCTCGTGGGTGCTGTTCAGGTGAATAGAAGCTAGTGCCATGCTGGCTTTTGTAGAAGATAATTTCTCAGGAGCTCATGTAAATGATGGAAGTTTTGATTGCTATTCCCCCTTTGACAGAATAACACTTTTGCCATGCATACCTATACATTTGAAGAGCACTACAAACAGACCCTTCCCTTTACGGCAGTTTTCAGCTGAAGGGGCTTTTCTATTGAATAAGGTCTGTTCTGTAAATCTCTGCCCTCATGGAGGATGCTTCAATATTGCCTCAACTATGGACTGTTTGTTCTAGATACTTAACTGCTGGCCAGTCCACTAATCAGCTACTTCTTGCCATATGATTGCTGTTTGGAAAAAACAGCCTGTGTTTAAGCAGCAGCCATGAAGTCAATGGCATGTAAAAGCTTTTCGGGTGATTTAGATCTCATCCTTCAGTGACTTGTCCTTAACTCCAAGACTAAGCAGTATGTGTAATGCATAGCCTGAAGGAATTGTTCTCTCAGAGACTGTGCTAACTCCTTTGACAGCTTGCACCATTTGTGCAGCTTCAGGGTTTAAAATCAGACTTTAAAAGATGGAAGAGCAGGGTAGATTGTAACCTAGTCTGATCTCCTTCCCCCCTCCCCCCAACTCTGGAGGGCCAGGGATTTGGATGGTGCAGCGAACACCCCAAGTTAGTTCTTCCATTCTCTTGGTCAGTATCTAGTTATAATGATGTAGGGTGTAACTTCTCTTAGTTTTTTGCTATGCTGTCAGCTCCTGCTTAAATCCCTTTATTTCTTCTCTTGCAGGTCACTTCACCTGGGAAAAATACCTGAAAGAGACATGTGCCATCCCAGCTCCAGCCCATTGCTTCAAGCAGGTAATTGGTGGTGTAGTGTTATGAGAGCAACAAAGGGAATGGATAAATCCAGATTCTAGTTCAGAGCAAACCTTGGAATAGAAAAAGCGAACACTGGGCAGGAATGTGTGTATGATGAAGCAAAGATAGAATAGATACGTTTAGACAAGCCATATATGTTACCGAACAATCCAGGGGAGTAACTCTCAAATGTACATAAATAGGAATATTAGAGCATCTCTTTGTCCTTGCAGGACTCACATGATGAAGGGAAATGTGTAGATTGGATCATTAGTCAGTGCGAACTATGATTTCAGTTTCACTGGATCCACACTAGTAAAATGAATGTCCTGCCCACTTCTCTTCTATGTTTTCCAATTATTGGTGAGCCAAATAGTGATTTCTAAGGCATTGGGCATTTGGTCAAATTGCTGGAGCTGCTACCATAATTTTTAGACCAGCTGATACAAAGGTCAATGAATAAACTAATAAAATGACAGTGGGTCAGGATTAAGGGACCTGGGCTTTGGTATAGGCTAAGGAGAGCATAGGGCTGGAATATCAGAGAAGATGCAAATCAGAATTAAGAGTTCAGGTAACTGTGTACGTAGTTTCAGGTTTGGTCTGTACTGTGGTTGTCTTGGGCTAGTGCTCTGAGCTGCTCACTTACAGGCTCAAAATGTGTTTTAATATGGTAGGGTGTTTTTTTATTGAAAGAGACTGTGTATGGGAGTGGTTAGATAACCACTTCTGTGTAAGCTGGGTGAGTGGTGTTGATGGAATGAAGCCCAGGAGAAAAATCTGACCCAGGATGTCTAGGTGAAGCCTATGTTAAAAGGCTGTATTGTGGATGGCAGGGCGTCAGGGCCTTGGCTCACTGAGCTTGCTTTGCTTTCTTCTGCAGTGCCTGCTTCAACACTGGGCTTGGAGGACACTTTCTAGCTTCAGTTGCCCAAAGAAGTGCTGAAGCAGGTAGTGCTTGTGCCATAGGAAGGAAATGGCACATGTTGGAACTCCTGGCTCTCACTGGATCCTTGTTCTTTTCCTTGTAGTCATATACTCCACCCACTAATGAATTCAAGATCAGCATGAAACTAGAAGCCCAGGACCCTAGGAATACCACCTCCACCTGCATTGCTACTGTGGTGGGTCTGACAGGTGCACGCCTCCGCTTGCGTCTTGATGGCAGTGATAACAAGAATGACTTCTGGCGCCTGGTGGATTCTGCTGAAATTCAGCCCATAGGGAACTGTGAGAAGAATGGAGGGATGCTGCAACCCCCATTGGGTGAGTCTAAATTCTCACTTACCCAGTAGAAACCAGCTACCATGCCATGTCACAAAACCTAGTATCCTTTGCTTTCCCAGCAGAGTATGGACTCTGCTTCCCTAATAGGGCAATCTGCACTGCAGAGTTAACTTGGATTCTCAACTAGATATAACCTTTAACTTGGCTTTGATCCACATACACATGCTCCTTTTGTCTAAGTGCAGTATGCACATTCAGGCAAACTGGCCCAGCCTGAATGCCCTTTATGGTGAGAATAGAGGCTTACCTGATTTTGTGTAGACACAGACTAAATCATTAAAATGTTACTAGTCCTTCAGTGTTTTTCACAAATCCTTCCTTTGTGTCCTGAAGGACAGGAATGTTTTTCAGCAATTCACTGAGGAAAGAACATAGAGAAGCTCACTTTACTGTGGCACAAAGAGTCATAAGATAGGTCCCCAGAAGTCCTGGTGACATGCAGATGGGTGAAGCACCATTTTGAACACAGTAATTAGGGTAGAGCTTTTGGCCATGCACCCGTGATCTAGGATAATCTAGGTATTTAGATTCAATGGTTGTCCAAATTAACTTTGCAGTGAAGACATACCCACAATCCCAGAGCCTGCAGGACAACGTAAGGACCACACTGTTCTAGAACCGGTCTGAGCATCAGCCACTGCTTTTGGCTTAGAGCATCACTCCCACCAGCCATCATTTATTTGCCAGGCCCTCTCAAACACAGTACACTTTTCTTATCCTATAAGACAGTCTCTCTCATATCCATTACGTCAGAAGACTGGAAATGATACATAGAGTGGATTCCTAGGATCTTTAAATTGTAATGCAGACCATAAACAAGGAGAATTGGTAACATTGAGGTGTTTAGCTTAGTCATTACTACTTCTGGCAATCATTGGTAAATTTAGTTAAGCCAAAATAAATTATTTTCCTTTGTTACCCAGTTATATTTGTGGCCACCCACTATCAGTCAACAGGAAGACTTGGTTAACAAGTGTAGGCATTAGTAGAGAACCAGTTAGATGAGTTTTATATAGCTCACTTGTCTTCATTAGAGCTTCATTTTGCCCAGTTTGGGCAAGAGGCCATTTAACAGAGGAAAAAAACATGAAAAGGCTCTTGTTGATTTAAAGCCTTATCTTGAACGAGCATGACATTCACGACATTTCATCTCTGATTTATTAAAACTCTGTTTAGCTTTAGCTATCTTTAGATATTAAAATTCCCCCATTTTTTAATCTCCCAGGTAAACACTATTTTTCTTTTTACCACTGATCAAATGGGGTCCTGGTGAGCTGAACTGATGCATATTCAATCCAGATTAAACAGCTATCTGAACCTCATGCTTTCATTCAGGTGACAGTTCTCTTGGAGTTTTGGAGGTGTCTTTATTAAGCACCCATCCCAGTTTGTATATTCTGGTAGGGACCAGGCTGAGTTGTAACAGCAGAAGAAAGACTTGCACATGAGACCTTTGAAGGGGATACAATTTATCTCTAAGGATACAGTCAGACATAGCGCTTGAATTGTTCTAAGAATGTCGCTGGAGCTGGTTTACCATTGCCGTGGGTCAGAGGTGTCTGCACAGACGATGCAAAGGGTTCTAACTAGAACAGTCACCTTTTAGGCATTGTGGTACCATTGATCTGCTACCAGGGGGTGGAAGGGAGTACATGGTTCACTTACAGTTTTCTGCTCCCCCTCTCACTGACATTGAGTTCAGTAAAGATGCATTCCTGTGCTTTACTGAGATCTGTGTGGTGGAGCCTTGACTGGGAGGGGGGGAAGGGAGGGAGGGCGGGCCTGCCTAGACCTCTGCATCTGGGTTCCTGTGGGGCTGGATATTTCAGAGCTGTCTGTTTTGTGGCTTTTAAAGAGAACTTTTCCTCCCAGCTGCTCATCAATTTACTTCAATTCCTAGAAAGTGACCAGGATTTGGTGAATGTCAGGCAGATTTGATGGTGGAGAGGTAGCCAAGCAAGGTGGGGAGGGGCTGCCTGGACCCCTGCTTCTGTGTCCCTGGAGCTGGTCAGTTTTCTTTTATTGGTGGCAGTGGAGTCTTTTGGCAGTCCCTTGGAGTCTCGAGCCCCCAGGCACACAGAAGCATGGGTCCAGGTAGACCCCTGCCTGGCCATCTTCCAGCCCAGATAAGCCTGGCATGCATGGAACCCTGGTCAGTTGGCACTGCAGAAGGAAATTGAATAGCTCTTTAAAAGTCATGGAGAACTGCTTCCAAGGCTCCCAGCTAAGGACACTGCATATAGGCCATAGAAGTTGAGGCAGTAGAGTTCTGGCTGCATACCAGAGTAGCCAATTGCTTGTGACTGTTGGAGTGAGAGTGGTGCAGGTGGGAAGCCTGCAGGACCAACCAGACAGTAGTCACTGAAAGCTTGGTGACTGCACATAACATTGAACCAGTTCACAGACAGCCCGTTCAAAATAATACTTGTTTATCCAGGTATACTTTTGAAATGGTTCAGGAAGTTTAAACTGTTCAAAACTGGTTTTCACATCTCAGTGCTTGCAGTTTAAACCACAATTAAACCAGTCTAAGAGTTATGTTTGTCTGCACTTCAAGCATCCTTTGGGAGGTGTCAAGTGGATGTCCAGCCTGGAGTGTCAATAAATGTGACATGGGAATAGATTCAATGAAAAGTAAGCTTGTCTGGGAAGGTGAAAGCTGCATGCCGTCATATGGGATGCTGACACACTTTATTTTTTTAGTGCTACAAAGATCTTGTTTCTTATTTATCACAGGTTTCCCATTTTTTTAGTGTGACAGAAAGCCTGACTGTGTGGCTACAGGCTTTTTGCCATGTTAAAACAGCAGATAAAGTGCAACAAATTTAATGCATGTCAGAGCCCATGAGTTATTTAAATTCATATTGCTGATAGTGGGAAGCACCATGACTGAGGGTTTCTAGGGCTATGTTGATTACATCTGCTGAGCATTTGGCCCTGTGAGTCTGTACCCAATTTACTACAGAAGACTGATGTGAGAAATCTCTCTCCTCCCTTGGTAACAGCCGCCATCTCCCATTCTTCTCAGCTGTAAAGATTAAAAAAAAAAAAAAATACCCAACCAAGGAAACAAAAAAACACCTAGGGAGTGTGACCTTCTGCCTGCGTCTGATGAACCCAGAATGAGCCGACTTCAGAGATCCTAGTATGTAAGAAATAAGATTGTTTTGGCTGTTAAAAGCCAGTCTTGAGCTTTGTATCCAGGTTGAAGCTGTATTGGTCTAGAGAAAAAAGCAAGGGCTCATGGACAGAGGTGATACCTTTTATTAGACTAACAAGATTATTGCAAATAATGTCTTTAATTGCAAGCTTTGGGGCATAAACACCCTTCAGCAGGCATTGGAGAAAAGATTATAAAAGTTTTCCTGGGTCAGAATGAAAGTTCATATTTCATAGGATTTCACAGAGGAATCAATAGATGGAAAACTTGAGCTTTGGTGCATACCGCCTTTATCTAATGTGAGGTTTGCAGCTATACTTTGCCTGATTTGGCTGGACCTCGTGCATCCTATTGCCTTATTTCCAGTTGGCCACAGCTGCTAAGATCTACTTGGTGAGGCTGGCCCTTTAAATACTTTATTCCATTTATTTAAAAACAATTGGGTTCTGGCCTCCATAGATTTTTCTGCCAGAGACAAATTCGACATATCTAACCTACTGTACTTCTTCACTCTTCCTATATTTCCCCCTAGCAGGAGAGAGGAACCTATTACATCTGTTAACATCTGATCACATTTTTTTTTTAATTGGGTATCAAATAGTGTCCATAAAATCTGCTGTTATCAGAAACAGTAGTCAGTTCTGTATGAGACTTTTCCCAGTGGATGCTGATCCATCTCTTGTGTATGAATTTTACCCTTAAAACTCTCAGGGTATAAGCAAACATAACAACCATCTGGCTATCATAATACACTGATACACACTTATGACAAAACTGTTTCCTCTTTGTGATTTTGTAACAATGCAAGTGTAGCAAAACTGCTCCAGCTTTAACCCTCCTTCATTCTTATCTCACCTGTATTGCTACAGGATGTTAAGGGTGTAAGGGTTAGCGTGTAACAGTTGCTCTAATGTCACTGAAATGGTGCATAGGGTTAGCGTGTAACAGTTGCTCTAATGTCATTCAAATGGTGCACCCCCCCCTCCACCCCGCCACACCTTTTTTAAGCAGCTACAAATTGTACCTTTGTGTCCATACCCTTAGATTCCTATTTTAAAAAGTAGTGTGTTTTTTGTTGGCTATCAGAGGGGACAATAACTAATCAAGTTAGAGCTGGAGCTCATCTTCAGTTGTTCCATGGGAGTTAAAACTGTGTGAAAGTGTTTACTGTGACTGATCTGGTTATCCGTGTCACCTTTCCTGGAGGCAAGGCTGGGAACAGGTGCTAGCAACTCGATTCACTCCATTATTTCTTGATGTCTCAGTGCAAGTCAAGTAACTACAAATCTTTGGCTTCCATTCCTTTTCCTTCCTTCTTCCCTCCCTCCTTCCCTTCCTCAGTTTGTTAGATCCTGACATGAGTATGTGGATACATTTCTCACTCAGTATTTTCCATGTATTCTGAAGCTCAGTAGTCAGCTCTTGCTTTTTCATTGTTTGAACAGAAAAGTCCTCCTGCCAGGCTTGTTTTCCTTCCTTGGGTATCCTTTTCCTAAGCCACTTGCCCAGCTAGTTTTGGTGTTTACAGGCTCTTCTTGGGGACATGTGGATAAAATACTAGGCTTGATTCAGCTTGTCGCAGTTGCTCTGATGCTCAGGTCCTGTCATCTCTGGCAAGTTTTGCCCTCAGTATAGCTCTGTGGGTAGCTGTAGGTGTTAATTCAGTACCAGGGTTAACTTCAAGACTATAAATATTGAAAGCTTGTTAAAACTAAGTAACAAGAAAAGGTTCCTTTGGGACTAAGGTTCCATACTTCTGAGCTGTGGGCCTTGCAAAGCAACTAATTTATATTATCTGGACATATTTTATGGTTGTTAC